GATTCATGAGATGCAAGATGATGAACGTGTAAATCCTCCAGAAGTCTATAATTCTTTCCCAATGTAGAGTTCTTTCCCAGCCAGCCACCAAATCTATTGTAATTGTTTTCTCCCTGCAAAAGACATTATTTTCTTAATAAGGGTAATGTAAATTTAGATCAGTCATCAATCAATTTACTATCAAAAAATGATGAGGAAAGAACAAGCTTTGACATTTTATAGTAGTAGATAGTCTGATATGGCATTAAAGCAAAAGAAGTTAAAATTTATACTAGTAGTGCTTACATGAATCTCAGTATAGAGAAGTTGGACATCTCAGTTGAAACACTGCCAAAATATAGAAAGAACTAATTGGGTATAACCGGTCCAATTTTAAAAGCAAATATTGAAGGGGCAGCTTAAGACTGAAGAATTTCATAGCAGTTGCTGCTTTCTCACTCTGATATCTCACTACATGCTCTAGTATTCTAGCCAGAAGAACTAAGTACAGGCAGCTTGAAATTGCAATTAAATTTACTAAGAAATAGAAGATACCTAAGTCACCATAAAGAATATTACCATTAATGAAAGATAACCTTAGCAAGCCTTCTTAACATAAAGCAGATATCTGAACAGAATAAAGGATGCAACATGGTGAAATTGACCAAGGGGATATGTCATGTCAAACTTAGTTATATAATATATAGGCAACTAAAGTCTGCCCCATCTCCCCTATCCCAACTATCCATTATCATATTTGCAAAAAAAGTATGAAAACATAACCTTAGCAAGCTTTCTTAATTGACTTGCAAACATCTTCAGTTAGCTGTTGTTAGAGCTTAACCTGTGCTGAAGTATTATGCTAATTGCTAAGGCCACTCTGTTAATCATCTGTCTTCAGAATACCTATCTTTTGCTCTCACGCGAATAAGCTTTTAATCTCAACTTCAATCACCAATGACAAAAAATAGAAGTATAGAAGAATCTGAGAGAGCTATTGGTATTGCACCTTCGTATCCACAAGTCAAATCATTACGCTCCATTGTCACATTCTTCAAAAAGTAAAACAATACAATATAAGCTGCATCCCTCTTGTTATATTTCAATAAGATATCACTTATTTGAACAAACTTGTTCAAATCATGATATGAACGAGTGATCTCAAACCCTCTACTGAAACAATTATCATTCATATATTTATTAGTTCTGAGGAAGCATGAAAGCACCCACATCTATAAGATATTTCCAACTTTATCGAACTTTTACAATACATTAAATAATGGTCTAGTTACCAGGCATGTAATTTGTTTAACATAATATGTCTATCTGTATGCATCTAATATGCTATAAGGTATAGATTATAAGTTACCAGTGCATGTGGTGTAGGCATCAATATTGGGGAAGACAAAGGCAGCGGTCGGAACCTTTCCTTTACCGATCGAGCTTGAGGAATGAAGCCCATTTTCTGGTCACTTCTGCATGTAATAATATACAACCAACACACTTAGTACCGTGAACTACAAGAATCCAATTCAAAATTATTTATTACTCAGACATTTATGAGAAGTATCATATCATAGCAGATTGCTAGAACAATCATCAAAAGTTTTGGACAAGTTCTTTGACACTCAGTTAATAACATAAACTGGCGATGACACTCAGTTAATAAGCCTATTTGACACTAAACTAAGCCAAATTAAATGGCCATCTTTTCTCCTAAAGATGCAAATTTACACATATGTAACCCATAAAGAAATGAAGAACTATATTCAATTCACATTTCACAGGGCAAAGCAAATCTCTCCACAGAACTATATTCAAATTAAGAAGTCAAAGCAAATCTCTTCACATGACAATACTAAATCCAATTCACACTTCACAGAATCATAGGGCAACACTATATTCAATTCACATTTCATAGTGCAATATCAGATCACTAATGAGTAACCACTAGAAATTGTACAATTCACACTTCACAAATCAATTGAAAATCAATGAGTTAAACTCACAGTCACAGAG